CCCCTGGCCCTTATATGACATTTCTCATTTTTACTTGTCTGATGTTTTTCTCATTAGATTCAGGTTGTGCATTCCGGGCTTCAATACTGTATAAGTGATGTTGTGTCCTTAACAGTGTACTTCTGGACTCACAGCACGTCCATCTGTCCTCATCCGTGATGTTTTTTTGGTCACATAGTCAAGGTGTGGATTTCTCCACTGTCTAATTACTGTACATTTTTTCTCCCTCACAACTAATGGGCAGTCGGTAGAGAGACAAGACTGTCAAATACCCCGCTTCTCATCCAAGTGTGCCTCTGGAGTTTGCCTGTACCCACTTTTTCCCTTTCCCTAGAGCTAAAGGAGCGCCGCTGGCGCCACCTAGGGGGCTTCCGGCACACTGCAACAAGGGGAATGCACTGTGCGTCCTCTCTCACTCCTGCCACCTGCCTGGTGTCCAGGAGCTAGTTCAGCCTGAGACATTTTGAAAGAAGAGCCTATAGAGACCTGAGTCACAAAGCCTGAGTTCTAGTTCTAACATCGCCACGAACTCATGAGGGACCTTGGACAAGTTCTTCCCCTTCTCAAGACTTCGGAGTGCCCGGTAAAACGGGAGGTTGGATGACAAAGACCTGAGTCACTCATTCATCCAACACATAGCTATTGAGCAACTAGAGGCACTGTTCGAGGGTCTGGGCTAGATTTCTGCTCTCGGGAAGCTTACATCAGATGAGGGGTGATCCAGACAATAAGCAAGAAAACAAGTGACATAAAAGGAAAAATAATATAGTAGTAAGTGCTAGGATGACAATAAAACAAGATTGTGAGAGAAAGTGCTGGGGGTCCACTTCAGATTGGGTGGTTAGGACAAGCTCTCTGAGGAGGAGGCTTTGAGCTAAGACACACAAGATCATATTTGAAACATTCCATGATAAAAGCTTTTATATATATATATATACACACAATATATAACTTTTTAGTGCAAAGTTTGGAGAAAAGACAACCACTGGCAACATTCTAATATATTTATATCTTTTTTCTTTTATTTTATATATAATTCTGTGTTCTGCTTTTTTTTTAAATTGGCATCATCTCATAAGTATTTTCCATGATGCTGTTCTAGATGCATGCTTCATATTTCATTTATTAAATTTTCCCTTCACTTCCCAGGAACAGTGTAATGAACACCCATATACCCTTCATCTACCTTTACCAATTGGTAACTTTTTGCCACATTTCCTTTGATAATACAACACAGAGTTCTTCTGAACCCTGAAGAGTTGCAGGCAACATGACCATTCATCCCTAAATACTTGAGCATGTATCACTGAAGAACAAAGCCATTCTCCCCTGTAATCACAGTTCAAATTATCACGCTCAGGAAATCTCATATTAATACAAGTTACGGACACATACTAAAATTTTCCCACTTGTCCCAATAATGTCCTCTACAACTGGGTTGGTTTGTTTGTTTTTTGATCTAGTATCTAGTATTTGATCTAAGTACCAGGTATTTTATGTAGTTGTTCTTTTCTATATTATACACTTAAAACTTCTTAGACAGGAAATTTTGTCTTAAAGTGAAATGATAGAATTTTAGTGCTTAGTTTTGAAAATTTAGGCCATTCTAACTGCTAGTGAAAATCAACCCAGTCTAACTAACACTAAAGACTAGACAGTGTTACTCTCCTGTCCGGTGGGGAGACTGCATGAAAGTTTCAAACAAAACACAGAGCAGGATTGTTCAGTGAGCCTTGGAAATGTTATTCATACAAAAGCATCTTTTAAGAGGCCTGTGCTTCAGAAGGTGTTATGATGTTCTATAAAAGGTAATCTACTCTGCAAATCTGTTTGCTTGTATTAATAATTTATTCCTCTTTTGATAATTTTTTAAACTGACGTCTCTGCTTTCAGAAATAAGAACTTTGGAATTTTCTTCTCCATTTATGCATCCCATTACTCTGTTGGATTCTTAATCCAAACGAAGACTTTGAGAATCTTTGTCTCATTTAAAGTATACCCTATAGACTCCTTAAATATAATTTAAATTATATTCTATTAATTATTTAACCATCTTCTACAGGCTTTTCATTATTTCTAATACTCTACTATAACAAACCTTTATAATGCCTAAAAAACATAAAAATTTAAAATAACAAATTCAAATAACATAAAAAATAAGTTTTTAATATCATCAAATATCCTGTTAGCGTTCAGCTTTTCCCAATTATCTCATGATATTTTTAGTTTCTTTAAATCAGAATGTAAATAAGTTCCATACTTTGCAATGGGTTTATATGGTTTTTAAGTCTCTCTCTTTTTTTAAAAAAAGATTTTATTTATTTGACAGAGAGAGACACAGTGAGAGAGGGAACACAAGCAGGGGGAGTGGGAGAGGGAGAAGCAGGCCTCCCGCCGAGCAGGGAGCCTGATGCGGGACTCGATCCCAGGATCCTGGGATCATGACCTGAGCCGAAGGCAGACGCTTAACGACTGAGCCACCCAGGCGCCCTGTTTTTTCTTTTCTAAACCAGGTTTTATCCATGCAACTCTATCATAATACCATCCCATTAGCATGGAACATGTGGATGCATGGAAGAAATCTAACAATAATCTTGATTCAGAGCTGATACTTAAAAATATGGAATGCTTCATGAATTTGCATGTCAGAAGCAGTGATGTGTACAACTTCCAAGATACAGGTTTTGAATGAAATTGCTTATTTCCACTTCCTCTCTCTTTACCCTTCCTCCAGACAGGAACACAGATAAGCTACTGCTCAACCACTTCAATCCCACAGATGAAAGTGACATCCTAGAGAATGGTAAAAACAGACCTTATAAAGAACCTGGGTTCTTTGACAATCTCACAGAGCAGAGCCATCTACCTACCTTAATCTGTTTGCTTACCTCTGGGACTATTAACCTGAAAAAGAAATACATTTCTATTTTTTAAGCCCCTTTTTTTGGATCTTTTTTGTTGTCATTACAGCAGTTGAGCCTATCCTCTTATACTGAAAACAGAGCTTTATTTCCCCCACTGGACTGAAAGGATATTCCTAAGCTTCCTGGGGGTTGCTGTACCCCTGGCCTCCATCTGTGTAGGAGAAATATTGTGAAATGGTTATAAAATTAACAAGGGTTTAACATTTAGACACTGAATAGATATTTATTTAGGTTTTCTTATTTTTAAATTTTCTTAGGACTTATTTTTATCAGGCCCTGGATACTCTTCCTATACTGCCCGGTGGATAAAACAATCCACAGGCCATGTGTGCAAAAGGAAGGGGTCTGCTGTAGGCCTGCCTGCCAGTGTAGGGCTTGCTCTGGGGAGTGGGCTTGCTATAGCAGCTTGTTGTGGAAGCTGAGGAGTGGGGAGTAGTCAGGCTGTATGTCCCTGGGACCTGGAGAAAGACAGCATTGGGAGGACAAACATAGCAGAAAGCTCGGAACAGGCATGGTAATGTTTTGGGTATTTGGGCCACTCTGGGAAGGGTGGGGGTCAGAAAGACTTCCAGGTCTCATCTTAAGCATTAAAAGTGATGATCGGGTGCCTGGGTGGCTCAGTTGGTTAAGCGACTGCCTTCGGCTCAGGTCATGATCCTGGAGTCCCGGGATCGAGTCCCACATCGGGCTCCCTGCTCAGCAGGGGGTCTGCTTCTCCCTCTGCCCTCTTCCCTCTCGTGCTCTCTGTCTCTCATTCTCTCTCTCTCAAATAAATAAAAATAAAATCTTTAAAAAAAAAAAAAGTGATGATCATCTGGGGTGCCTGGGTGGCTCAGTTGGTTAAGCATCTGCCTTCGGCTCAAGTCATGATCCCAGGGTCCTGGGATCGAGCCCCATGTCAGGCTCCCTGCTCAGCAGGGAGTCTGCTTCTCCCTCTACCTCTGCTCCTCCCACCCACTCATGTGCATGCTCTCGTGCTCTCTCTTCCAAATAATAAAATATTTTTTAAAAAGTGATCATCCTTCCTTGAAACACAAACTTCTCTGACACCACATCCCCCTGGTTTTCTTCCTAGCTTCCGAGATAGAGACTACATAAGGAAGAATATGTTAAGGGTGCTGGGGACTGGCTAGTATGTCAGGTGACATCGAGACACCGAAGTGTACGTGTCCAATAGACCGCAGGACTCTGGAGCTCAGAGAGTGGGTCGCTGACTTGATGAGATTCTCCGAGATCTCTGCATCAGTTAGGGTGCTTATTTCCAATGAAAAGAAACCAATTCTGGTTCATTTAAGCAGAAAATGATGCTATAAAATATTTGTTGAGAGAGTTCACAGAATTGTTGGAAAAGCGAGAGAATTAGGAGCTAATGGGTCTACTGTAGAAACCAGCACTGCCATCAAGCTCCAGGGGCTTCAGTTCATTCTGCTGCTCTCGCTGCCATGGAAACCTTGCCTCACTGCAACCAATACCATAACCACAGAAGTCTCTGTGGTCCCTGGTGTTTTTCTTGTTGTTGTTGTTTTTAATGACTACCATTAGACCTGTATCCTAGCTACAGGGCATGCTGATAAATCAAGATTTGAATATATTTAGCTACAGTGGTGAAGAGTGAGCTCTGCTTCCCAAGACTCCTGAAGTGGGGAATTCTGCCCAAATAGGAAAGGGGTTCAGATTCTGTGCAGTCCAAATGAATGAACAATATTCAAAACAACGTCCTTCTCCCCCAGATGGCTAGAAACCACAGGCGTAGACCGGGCAGAGAGGAGAGCTCAGGCTAGGTGACTGGGGGATGGCACTTTATAAAGGACATCCTTGAGGTATGAAGTGCCTGGAAGTGGTGGGCACTCAGAAGATGGCTTTCCCCTAACTCTGCCTCAGACTCATTGCCTGAATCTTGAGGAATGGGCTGTGTTCGTGCAACAAGAAGCGGAGAGTTGAGTTCTTCCCTGGATGGAAGGTTTCCCAGTCTATTCTTCCCCACCTTGTGTTCTTCATGATGTGGAGTCCAGGGGCAAGAAGACCATGAAGTAGGTTCGACCATTATTACTGAAGAAACACTCCAGGACACAATTATTGGTAAAGAAAAGTGCTATTTTTTAATTTGTTCTTGAATGTGTAAGTCCTTTTAAGATCAGTGACATTTCCCTTCACAATATTCCTCCCTCCTGCCCTCAACCACTTTGGATCCAATGGCCACTTCTGGAAAAGGCCCAAGAGGAACTCACCCTAGATATCCAAGAAAGAGGTGCAGCTTGAGGAATGGGCACATGGCTCAAGAAGCAGCTCAAAGCTGCTTTCCTCAAAGCAGCTCAGTCTAGCCTGTGAGTCCCTTTGTCCTGCCTTGGCCAAAACTCCCCAGCTATGTCCTACCCCCATTAATTGCTCCCTGTGGGGCCTGAGCTTTAGAGTTAGAATCACTACCACCAGCTTTCCAGTAGCACAGCCTCTGAGAGATCACTGTTTTCAACCCCCTCCCCCAACCAACTTCATAGATGGGGAAACTGTACCCAGTGTCACATAGCTCATAACTGGCAGAGCCAAAATTGAGGTGTTCAGCATCTCAAATCAGGTCACTTTCTACTATCTCACCCCACCTCCAAGAAAACACCCGACATCTGCGTCCAGCTCTAGGAACAGCTGGAGCATGCCGGGGCTGATATCAGTACAGATGGGACAGACCTGGCCAAAAGAGGCCCAGCTGAAGCAAGGGATGAATCCCGGCACTTCTCAGTTTTTCCTCGACCAGAACGTTACCAGTGGCAGACAGCCACCCCTGCCAGGATCCTCCTCCTGACCAGTAGCACAATGACCCATGCATGGAAACGTGTTTTGTCATGATCCCCAGCGCCTCACCAACTGTGGCTGGCTCTAACTGGTATGGGGATCATGGCGACGAGCTGCCCACCAGCCTGGGAATCCCATTTACCAAACTGCTTCTTGGTAAGACTCAATCCACATTCTCAAGCTGATTTGGATGGGACCTCTTGGCGAACATAGCTAAAATCTGTCTCCATACCACACTGGCAAAGGCAGAGGGAAAGGCTTGCAGGTGCTGTCCTCCCAGGAGAGCTTATAAACATGACTGGCATGGGGAGAACAGAGTCCAGGGAGAGAAACGGACTCAAGGAAAACAGGCGGACCCAGAGGGTGGGGGGCAGGAACAGCCAGGCTTCCTCCTGACGGCCCAGTGACTGAAGAGGGGAGACCGCAAGGAGCTGCAGATGTGTTCCCTTGTCAAGACTTCAAGAAAGGCTCAGCCTGTGTGGCCAAGAGGTAAGAGAATAACCCAGACACCTGCAGTGTCAGAAAAGCCATGTGAAGGGGTTGTCTCAAAGAGCAATGGGTGGGTGGTGTGAAATGTTGTGGAGACGTCAAGACAGTTGAGGACTGAAAGGTATTCTTTCGATTTGGTAACTGGGTGGTCACTGGTGACTCTTACGAAAAGCTGTGGAGGGTTGAAAAGTGAAAAGGATTAATGAAAAAAATCCTTTTTTAAAGAAACTTGGCTAATAAGGAAAATGGGTAAGGGGCAACCGACTCTAAGAAGCTTTGTTTTAGTCTGGGGGAGACCTCTGCTTGTTTGGAGGCTTTGTGGAGCCACTGATGGAGAGGGAGGTTGAGGCCCCAGGAAGTGGGAACGGTGGGATAAGGGATAAGTCTTGGAGGCCATAGAGCAGAATTCAAGAAACAGCACCAAACGGGAGCAGAAGGCAAGGATCTGCAGAGGGATGCAGACACAGACAGATGGGAGGTAGAGAAGAGCAAGTGGGCAAGGAGGTTCTCACTTTAGGGACTCTGTTCTGTAAAGTAGGCAATGGGGTCAGTCACTTGCTGAGAGCAAAGATGAGGGGCATGGACAGATAGTAGCATAATTACAAGCCAAAAATATACCCATCAATGTTGACAGCCCAACTGAGGGTGTCAACTATGAAGCTGTCATGCTTAGCAACCCAGGAGGAGGGATCAGAAAATAAGCAGATGCCAAAAATGGAGAACGGTTGACAGTTTCAGGGCAAGGTTTGAGTTGGGGAGGATAAGAAAGTTCAGGATCCTGATAAAAATGTCCGTGTGTGATGGGCCACGGGTTTAGGCTAGGGAGAGGAAGCAGCCCAAGTGAAGGCTGAGACAAAGAGAGGAGGTCAGGGAACTGGGCTAAAGGAGCAGGCAATTTCAGTAAACAGCAGCGAGGGAGTGGGAGAAGAGGAAGCATGGGGGAGGTGATCCCGAAGGAGCAAAGTCTCATTTCAGGAATTCAGGAGAGAAGACTACAGGTGACATGACATCACGGAGTGAAAGAGAGCAGAGCAGAGCCTGGGAACAAACGAGGAGAGGTCTAGGTCTCAGGAGCAAGGCAAAGACCTGTTGCCACAGTGAGCCAGAACCCACCAAATCTTTGAGCGGAGCCTACAGAGGGTCAGGCAGCTGCCACTGTGGGAGGGGGACCTGCAGAGGGGGTGTAGTTGGCAACTGCTAGAAGTCAGGTAGGGCCAGCCTACCCATGTTCTGGAAGAGTACTGCGCAATTCATCCTGCTCCAATTTTTGCACTAAAATCCCCTTCATATCCACTGAAGCCACTCTGCTTCCTATTCCTCAGCACATCCAAGGAGCCCCATTTCTCCACTAGGACTGCATTCTGTACTGTGAGGACCAGAACTCACTGTATTTCCATTTCATGACTTAGTCAAGGGCCAAAGGACTTGACTGACTTCAAAAGGGGCCATTTTGGGAGTAAGTCAAAAGCAGGATCAGCTCAGACATTAGCAAATAGCCAATGAGGTCAGTCACTCAGCTAGCAGCTTTTTCTTTTAATTTCTAAAAAGTCATGTTCTGCTTTCTGCATGCAAAAACAAAACAAGACCATGACGCAAAATGCTGGTGTTAAGTCCACAGGAAAAGCCCGGGGAGGGGGGGCAGTGGTGTGGGGTAACCAGTGCAGGGGTGGTGTGGTGGGTCAGGGCCTCGCCCCCTTGCAGACACCCTACGACTGCTCAGGTGCCGAAAGTGGGCCTCTCAGCATGCAGGGTCTCTGCGATGGGAAAGGAATATGTGACTCTCTACCACATTACTAAGATCTCCTGGCCCAGCACGCTATACGTAACAGAAGGGAAGCCAAGCAGTTAGCCAGGCAATTCTGCTTCGTATCTGTGGCCTCCAGTTGGTCCTGTGGAAGGATCTCAATCAGATTTGAGGCTGACACAGCCCTTACCTGACTGTCCGGCACATAGCACCATGATGCTCACGCAGGGGAGGTGGGGGTGGGGGGCCACAACAAAGAAAAGATGACCAAGAGCATGAATTAGTGAGGTAAGTACAGAGAGAACCTTGCCAAGTCAACTAAACAGGGGAAAAGATTCAAAAATTGAAAGGGAAGTAGCCAATGCCCAATCCAGAGAGTCATGTGCGCCCCAAAGAGCAGAGGGCTAGGTCTAAAGATTGCCTGGCTACTGGCTCATTAGAGACTTAGTTACCCCAAACTTGGAAACAGGACTATGGAAGCCCATCTGTGCAGGAGAGCCTGGCAAGGGCTGATGAAAGAATGGTGGGCCAAGGGCGTGGTTGGCTCTGAAGTGAAGACAGCCTCCCAGCCTGGGTGTCGAAGGAAATGAGCAGTACCACCAACTGACAAGGAGAGAAGAAATATTTTCTCCAAGCAGAATGTTCCCATTGACAAAGGCCCTACACACAAGAACTTCCTTAAACTTCATCTCTTAGCAAAAATAAAGCCATGACCTAAGACTCCCTTGCAATTAGCCAAGCCGTGACGAGACCAGAGACAGCGGCGTCTGCAGGCCAGGCCACGGGGGTGCCGGCTCTGCAGCTCCCCCAGCATCATCAGCAGTAGCTTCCTTCTCAACCGAGTCCTTGCTGGCGAAGTAGCCTGACCCCCAGCAACTGCCTGGGCCGCCTCCTCCCAAACACCCCACACGGACCATGAAGAGCCATCTCCATCCGAGATGCAGTCTGGAATTCCCATGCCTGTGGCTTCCAGAACATTTCCCTCTGCATTCTTAGTTGCTTCAAGGTCACCGAAGGACTCTGGCTCCTCACCTCTCAGTTTTCCCCTTCTCCACCCTAGACAGAACATCTCCCCATGAGCGGTTGGATCGGGCTCCTGGCTCACCCTCTGGCCTTCTCCAGCCTCCAACAGAAAAGGGTTACCATTAGAGTCTTGGCTTTTTCTGGGCTGCGGGCAGCCTGGGGGCAGGTGAGTCAGAGCACTCGCCTCTGATCTTTGGCTCTGTGAAAGTGGGGAAGCTGGGGACTAGGATCTCTAAGAGGAGGAGAAGCCCAGCAGGGTGAGCTGGTTCTGGGTCAGCCTCCTTGGCCAGCCCCTGCCTCTCAGGTTTCCCAGGCAGAACTCAGAGTCCGAACCTCCGAGTGGAGACACCGAAGGGATGGCCACTGACAGTCACTCCTAGAAAGGCAGATTCTGACACTGAAGAAGAGCTATGAACCCAAAGTCAGTGGCACAGAGGACAGGCTCTGCCAGTGAAATCTGAGCCTGAAGCTGTCAGCGGCCCCTGCACAGCCACCCAGCCCCGTTGAGAAGGCCATACCACCTAGAGCACAGCAGCCACCTAAGTCAACATCGGGAGAGGGGGCATGAGAAACAAATACCCTGAAAACCGTTAGAACCCAAATAGGCACCAATTGAGACCTCTGGCCTCTAGAAGCCTCCATTACCCTGCGCAAGGCAGCGTCCTGTCCCGGCAGGCCAAGCAAAGGCAAACAGTGACAGTCTTTGGCTGTGCTGGGCCAGGGCTCACGGGCCTGCCGTATGTCAGAACCTCTCTCCCTTCTTTTCCTCCCCTCGGGGCCCAAGAGGACTTCAGATATATACATTGCTCCCGAGCCCTGCACGCTGAAAGGTGAGAAAAGTCTGCTTTCCTCAGCAGAGAGTCACCAAGGAAGTTAGGTCCTCCCGAGCCTGACCGGGCGTGGGCTCATCAAGTGGACCCTACACATCTGATTTTTCTGGTAATCGGGAACACCTCCCTCTTTGCTGTTTATTACTGAAATCTTCTCTGTAGTGGATGCACTATGGCTCCCAAATGAATGCTGTAAGATGCAAACGGCAAAGAAGAGCACTACACAGCTCGACAAGACTCGTCTCACATCCACGATCTGAAGAGAATGAGCTGAAAGGTGGGGAGGAGTGGTCGACAGGATGGGGCACCAGCCACCAGGCTGCTCACACCTGGGAGACACTGCTGGCCAGGCGGAAGGACATTCGTTTTGCTCTTTCGTTCTCCTGAAAGGAAAAAAAAATGTGTGGCATTAACATGGCCCAGTGTAACACCTGTCAACGTGACAAGGCCCAGTGTCCAGACTGGGGCTCCCCAGAGCCCAGGTGTTCTACTCTAGCCCAGGAATGCAACAGCCACTACACACTACGGTGTGCCAAGCACGGTACGCAACAGGGGGCGGCTGGTCGGGCCCGGCACCCAGCAGCCAGGCGGGGCGGTTCCGTGGAACGAAACAGCACCGAAGTGATGTCTCGAGTCTGCCCATGTAGGACCAGACCCAAGGTCAGAGGAGCGCTCTTTGCTGCGAGCAGCACCTCTCCCTCCTTCTCTACACCAAGGGGACGGAAATACGCCTTCCTTCCTCCCAAACCCAAGCTGAGATCAGACACTGAGACCAGGTGTTTCTCCTCTCCTGGGGATCACAGTACAGAATAACCGGCACTGAGCTGCGAGTCGGGAGCCCTGGCTTCTCGCCCTGATTCTGCTGCTAATTGGCTGGGTGACCTGGGCAGGTACATCCACCTCTCTGAGTTTCAAGCCTCAGCGGTAATCGGACTTACTGAGCCGCACGCTGCCCTGCCTTCACCTTAGACTAAGGGGCTGGGAGCGAGGGTTCATTGTCACCACTCTCCTGTGCCTCCCGAGCAGTCTGGCTTTAGGTTGCCCTGTCCGTGGTGCTTGGGTGCCCCCTGCCTGCCCAACTACCCCCCGCACCTGCCCACCACCGGGCAGCAACTCTTTACCATATGTCGCCGCCGCCTCTTGGGCTGGATGCCCTCCTGCACATAGGGGGGCCATGGGAAGCCCTGGGGAGTGGAATACCCACTCTCGCTAGACACCTCCTCGGAGTCTGAGTCCTCCTGCCTTGGCTGGGCAAAACGCTTCTCCGGGTAGATCTCCTTCAACCAGCCCTCAAAGAACACTTCCAGGCAGCGGCCGGCCTCCGCAACTTCTGAGTCAGGCTGAAGGGGAAGGAGAGCAGTGATGGTCCGGCCCATTTCCGCCAGCCCATCTCTACCTGGCCCCTCAAGAGCTAGCTCTACAGAGAGCACAAAGCCTGGCTGGTTTCCTGGAAGTCTAGAATGGGACATTTTCTCCTGAAGACTCAAGACAACCAGTTTAGTACCATCTCTCAAAGCAGAAGTGGCCCTGACAGTTACCCACAGATGGCCAGCCACTACCACTACCCCCTGCTTCCTCCTGAGTTCATGCTGAGACCCAAGTGCAGGAGAGCGCTCATTAACACTCACTACGGGGAGCCCCACAAAGTCTGTTCCCAGGTCCTCATGGCAACTCAGGACCAAACCTGATATCCCCATCCAGCCAGGCGTCTTGGGGTCCCTGGGAAATAGGGGAGAGGGAAAACAGGCAAGACGTACATAATTAAACTTCGCACAGTTCCAGAACATGAGGCGGACGTCGGACACCACCTCCTCCGGGGTGGTGTAGTGAGCTGGGTCCTTCTTTTGCAGCTTCCTCCGGATGATCGACAGGTCCATGGGCCTCTTGATAATCTGGTAGTAATGCCGGGCCTCGGGGGAGGAAAGAAGGGGAAGCCAAGCAGGAAGAGAGAAAAAGTGGAGGTACAGATAAGAAGGAGGGAAAGATGGAGAATGAGGTAGAACAGAAGTGAAAGAACACAGGAAAGGGAACGGCAGCAAGAAGAAAAGTGGAGAGAGAAGACAAAGGGAAGGGGAAAAGGAGGACTGGCTCACTGTCCAGTCAGGTGTGGCGCAGCGGCCGTGGGGTTGGGGGGCTGTGGTGGCCACAGCGGGGTCCGCTAGCCCAGGCACGAATTAACCCGACTTGCAGTGGCCATGTGCTGAGCCCGCCCCGGGTACCCCTGGGACCCGCCCCAGGCCCAGGACCTCGGGAGCCGGCAGAAACGGGCGGCCCTCCTTACCAGCGGGCTAACGGGCTCGTGGAAGGGCAGGCTGAGGCTATTGCAGCACAAGGACAGGACCAGCTTTTCACACTTCTGCAGAAACCAGAAGGCAGCAGGTTACTTTGCCCCGGCCCCACCTCAAGAAGGACTGAAGAGAGTGACCCCAGAAACTCCAGCAGGGTCTGCTCTGTCCCGCAGGGCATGGGCCCCCACCAGAGGAAAACATTTGGCAGGAGGGGGTTCCCTGCAAACACCCACAGGCCAGGCTGTCAGCATTGCTCAGCAGAGTCGCTCATGCTCTAAGGCAAAAGACAAATACCTCCGAGTATTTATGACCCATACCTTCCACTCATATGTCCTACTCATGGAGAGGCTTCCCATCGCCTCAGAAAGGCCTCAGCTGCTGGCATAGGGAGGCTGCCACAGGCAGGAAACATTGTCCCCAGAGACCCCTCCCTACCTTCTGGTCACAGACGCTCAGGCCAGGGGTGGCCCGCATCCCAGGCTGGCAATAGCGGGCATTCTCACAGTCGTATTCCATCTCGGGCTGGGTCAGGCTGCGGCACAAGGTACACACCCAATCTCCCCTGCAGAGGCAGGTGAGGCCCAGTGAGGCCTCAGCACATGGCCCAGAGCCACCTCCCCTGTCCCTCTGCTCCAAGATACCCGGGGCAGCGGGGA